GGGGGGGGGGGGGAACCCTTGCTCTGGGGACATTTCCTAAAATGCTACCGCAACCAATAAAAAGTGCCACCTCTCCTGCACATACCTCTCTGAGTTCCTGTGGGCAGCACCGGCGTCTGCCCCAGGCACAGGGGCTCCCAGGCCAGGAAGGGGTTTCCTGCCATCGCAGGGAAGTCCGTGTGTGCAGGTGGCAGGGCACCTCTGCCTGGACAAAGCCCTCGCATGCAAAGCCGGGTTGTACCCCTCCGAGTCCTACCGCAAAGAGCCCTGTACCTAAATCTGCAACCACACTGTGACACCCCCCCCCCCCCCGGGGGACTGGTCGTTCTCTGGGAACCAGGCTGGAATAGAACCCGGGGCTGGAACTGCAGGGTTTACACAACAAGCCCCAGCTCTGGGGCGGGGTGGACTGCCTCTCGGCAGACAAGTTTCCCCTGTATCCGCTTCCTCCTCACTCCCAGCCTCACTTCCACACACTCACAAACACACAAGTACCTGGGCTCCACCGCTGGAGTCTATAGGTCAGTGTCAAGTGGGCAAGGGCAGTGAGGAGTAGGGAGGCTGAAATAACGGTCTTACCAGCAGCCAAGAAACGTTCTGGGATCAGAATGAGCTGAGGGTCCCCAAACCACATGCAGGTGAAGGCTGTCTCCCATCGTCTGCTCTCGCACGATGCTCACATCAGCTCCGAGGCAGAAAGGGTCCCCTTGTATCAGATGGGACACACTCTGTCCACAGACCAGGCCATTCGCACCCGGCCTGACACCTGCCCCCCCAGCCCAAGCTTCTCCCTGGGGCAGGCTCCTGGCAGGTGGGAGGCTGGGCTCCTGCCCTGGAACCCGCACTCCCTGGGGCAGGCTCCCCTGCTCCTTCCTTCCTGGGTCCACGTACTCAAGCAGAGGCCAGCAGCGCTCTGCCAGGAGAGAGGGCAGGGAACTGGGGGCCAGGGGAGCCCCCCTGAGTGCAGGCTCTCGGCAGACTGAACCCGGAAGCCTAGCCCTGCCTCTTCCTGATGTGCCAGGTTAGCTGAACCCCCAGAGGATGGGGCTCGGGAAGCCACAAACACACCAAGGGTGGCCGCGCTCTTACAGTGACAGCATTGGGTCTTGCTCAACCCGGGTGCCATAGCTGGTGCCCGTGGGGTTCCCATGCGTGGAGGCCACACTCAGGGTGCCCACCCCTCTGCTCCTCGTTTGGCTCGGCCGATGAGCCCCAGGGGCAAACTGCTTTTTCCTGTGCCGTGGGGCTCGCTCAGCATCACCACGAAGACCTCCAGAAATTACCCGAGTTGTCTCTCCAGGACCAGGTCAGAGGTGGTGGATGGCCTGAGGGACCTGTCCCCTGTCCTCCTCGCCCGGGGCTTCACTGATTCTGTGGGTGCCCCGGAGTCCCCCCCCCCCAAGACTAGGAGAGCCAGTGGAACACCACAGGTCCCAGGAAGGAGGGGCACCTGTCAGCCGTTCTGCGTGGGGTGCACTTTTCCCAGCGAGCCCCAGGTTTGCTTTCCCCTCCCCCACGGTAGCAGCCACCCCGCCTCCCCACCCCCCAGCCCATCGCTGTCCCTTCCACACAGTCCGAGCTCCTGCCGCTGGGCGCCAGGCAGGCCTCTGCTGCCTGTGGCCTCACTTTCCCCCTCTGGGTCAGGGACCGGGAACTCGCCAGGTCCCCACCAACTGCCCCCTCACACACTCTGACAAAATCTGTACTGAAACATCTGCTGTGGGATAGAATTGTGCGAGCCCTACACGTGACACTGACCTTGCCATCTGTTCGAAATGCGCAAAGGCAATGAAGGGGGGCAGTTTGGAAATGTGGCTGTTATCACCTCCAGAATTATGCGGAGAGCTCTGTCCAGCTCCCGGAGTATCACTGACTCGGGAGGCAGGCTCTGACACCAGGTTATGATCACTGGTCAGTGACTTGTCCCAAACCATCAGGCCAGCCAGAGGCCTCTGGCTCACCAGAAACCGTCCTGAGTGTGTAAGGGGTGTGATTTGGGGCCTTGACGTTCCAGAAACCACCCCCCTTACCCTCGGGGCCGCTTTGTGTATATGCAGTGCTTTCCCTCTTGTACCTGAGCCCTGCCTCGTCCCCCCACCTACACCCATCACACCCACCCGCTCCCCCCACACCCACCCTGGCTGAACTGTGTGCTTCTGGACAACCTGGAGAACCGTGCGGGCCGAGCACGGCAGCCCCAGGATGGAACCAGCTCCAGCATCGGTGCTGGGGAGTCTGAAACCCTCCCCCATACTTGCTGCCCAGAAAATCCCTACACACTTTGCTTTTGGGAAAAACGCACCCCCCCCCCCCACACACACACTCTCTCTCTCTCTCTCTCTCTCTCCAGTCCTTGGCCAGCTGGAGACCGGGACAGCATCAGTGGCCCCAGAGCCGTGGGCAGGGCCACGGCACATTCACAAGCCTCCATGTGTGTAAGTTCTCCGAGGCCCAGCAGGATGAGATAGACCGTGGCGCTCACCCCGGAAGCTGTGACAGCGTCCCCGCACTGCTCCCACCTCCCAGATGCGGTCCTGTCAGAGGAAGGGCCATGAAAACAAACAGGAGGCTTAAGGCTGTGGAGGGTGGCCTTCACCTGTTTTTAATTGGGGCTGTTAAAACCTGTGCCCTCCCCCCGACAGACAGCTGTGTCCAGGGCTCAGGGCACGTGCTGTCCCGGCCAGGGTGACAATGGCCCCGTGGCTCTCCGCTCTGAGAGGCTCTCTGCTCGGAGACTCCTCCGAGGGACACGGCACTCTCTCCGTGCCATGCCCTGCTCGTCAGTGGAGCCGCAGGAAGAGGCCGCAGGTGAGTTTTCAGGAACACAGATGGGTTCACAAAAAAGACACCTTTGTATATTTTGCCGCCTTTCATCTTACTGTGGAAGTTTTCACTGCATGCATTAACTTAATTAAGTTGACTTAAGTAACACATGATCAGAAAGCAAATAAAAAGCCACCGCCAGGCAGGACTGTTGTCCTGCGGCAGTAAGCGGCCCCCAGGGCCCACGCCGGGGATGTCCGCTGCCGGAACGAGGGCCACACCTGTGTCACCACCTTGGATCGGCCCAGACCAGACTCACTCTCAGACTAGAATCCAGGGCTGGGGGGTGACGCATCCCAAAACTTAAACTATCACTTCCACGTACCTTCACTTTGTGTATCATTTTGACATTTTTTGTATCTTGCCCCCCAGTGTAAATTGTCTCCAAGAAAAAAAAGAAAATTGCTCAGTGCAAACAGCTTCGGCCGTACTTGCCATACAGAACTGTCGATTATTCTTGAGACACAGCTCTTGGCCTAAAACAAGGCACTTCCCGCCCTTCCAAAGCATTCCACGGTCGGGGCCCTGCCGGCACAGGGCCGTCACCGGTCCGGGGCTGGCCTGCCTGGGGAGGGGGCACCTGAGTGAGCAGCCCGGGTCTCACAAGGACAGCCGCACCCCAAGGAAGGGGCGTCCACCCTTCCCTGGAGACCCTGAGGTGAAGTAAGGGCGGGGACCGGTTCCTCCCTCTGTCCTGGGCCCTCGCTCCCGACTCCATTCACGAGGCCACACTGGATCCGCGAGCGGTTTATTGATTCACAGTCACCACACTGACAGAACGGAGCGCCCCCCCACCCCCAACCTGGGCGCGGCCGGTCACCACTGCAATCGGTGACGTTTTAATTCGGAGGCAATTACTGCTGCAGACATGTCCCTTCATTTTTATAAACTAAGCATTTCTAGGTCATCTCACAGCCATTAACTCGGCAGGATCCTCGCTCAAACACGCAGGAGTTTTTGAGGAAAACTCTGGAGGAGGGAACGGCTGTGCACAGCAGACACCACTAGGGCTGTGGCACCCCGGTCAACCCCTCCCTCCCCCCCAGAGCTGCCCCTCTGCCCAGCAGAAGGGAAGCCACGTGGAAGCATCCAGAACACAGGCTCTGGGGGCCTGGGAGCTTGCCCAGGGCTGCTGGGCACGGCTGAGATGCTCATGTGACAGTGAAGGGGGGAAATACGGGGCGACCAGAGTCACCCAGCAGCCCCCACCGCAGCCAGATGCAGGGGATGTGGAGGACCAGGGGTTCGGCGGGCAGAGATGCCGGGGCCAGGCCCCCTACCCCGGAAGGTCACCCCAGGCCTGAGGGCCCAGAGTGTGGGGTATGGGACTGGCTCGGCAGCAGGGACACGGGCCACGCGTGTCCCCACTCCTGGCCCGCAGACCGGCCCCCTGTCCTGAAGATGGAAGGCTGTGTGCTGCAGACACGTGCATTCCCCAGGATACAGGGAAAACGCCCCGCAAGGCAGCCCTCCTTGGGGGACCCGGTCGCGGGCCCCTGGCTTTCCTGGGAGCACACGCGGGCCACCGGCACCCCACCACACCCCCGAGCCCCGGCAGGGTCCACACCGGTGCCTGCCAGGAAGAAGCCAGCGTAGCAGTGAGGCCCAGGGGGCCCACAGGACAGCCCTGGGCCCCACTGCCGAGCTGACGGCCGAGTCCTGAGTCCCGTGAGGCAGCTGCACCGCAGGTGGCCCCGAAAGGGCCAACTCTGGCCCGATAATCAAGAACACTCGTGACGCGCGTCCTCACGGCCTCCTTTCCACATGTATCAGGCGGGCTCTGCGCCCGGGCCCTTCTGAGACCGGGCTCTGCACTCCGGAGGGGCTTCATGGTGTCCTCTGTCCTGTCGCAGCCCCAGGTCAGCCTCTCCCGGGTTTGTGAGCACGTTCCAGGCTGCAGACAGGCGTCTTGTGAGAGGAAGGAAGAGAACGCTCACTTTTCCATCGCCCGAAAGCAGCCGCAGCCCGGCCCTCGCTGTGAACCCCACTGGCGCCCGTCCTCGGGGCGGGCGGGCACAAAGGCCGGCAGCCAGGCCCCCCCACCGGCCCACCCCAGACCCACAGAGGCTGACAGAGATCCCGACGGCTGAGACCCCTCTGGGGCCACGGTGCCTGCCCGCCCCGACGGGGAGGCCGGGCGGCCGGGCGGCGCCTGCGGCCGGAGACCGCCACGCGTCCTTGTCCTCCTTCCCGGCTGCCTCAGAGGGCCTTGGCACTGGCGGGGTGCGCCGCGTGGGGGGCGGGCTTCGGGGGGTGGCGGGCGAACGCGTAGGCCTGTCCCAGGATGGCCAGGTCCACCAGCACCTGCAACAGGCCACACACGGAGAACTGCAGGGGCGCGCCGTTCAGCAGGAAGTAGGCGGTCTTGAAGGCGTCCCCGCTGGTCCACATGAACACCATCTTGATGCTGCAGAGACACCAGCCAGGGGTCAGGAAACAAAACGGGGCTGGGGGCTCAGCAGACGGGGCAGTCGGGGGACACCGGCCCCAACCCGTCCCTCCCATCCCTCCCATCCTCGCCATGAGGGCCCTGCATGCCCCGCCACGGGGACAGGGAGGCCCTGCGGCCGGAGGGGCCTCAGCTGTGCGGCGCGGGAAAAGGCCGACACAGCGGTGGGGCCCCCACGGCCTCACAGGTGCTCTGCCCCTCGCGGCTGCGGGCACGTCTGTCGCGTGCCCCTCAGGAGACTCGCCGTGGCCTTAGGACAGGGGAGACCACCCCTCCCCACGCTGCATCCCAGGGGGCCGACCAGGCAGGGGCAGCAGCCACAGCCACAGGACTTCAGGACGGCCGCACCCGGCCACAGGAGCCTGGCCCAGGACAGGTGGTGGCCCCCTGAGCCTCAGCTTTCTCTTCCTGGCCGCGGAGCCCCCCGTCTGCACCCAGGGGACCAAAGCAGGGGCTGTCAGGAGAAGCGGAGCAAAGCCGGCCACTCTCGGAAATCCCTGCCCGGCCAGAGCCCGCCCCTCCACGCGAAAGCTCACTGGAGGGTGATTCCCTTCCCGGTCACGGACGCCGACCCCCCTCAGACACCTCAGACCCGTCTGTAGGGGGAACAGGGACCCTTGGTGAGGAAAGAGGGAACTGTCACTCACGTCACTGCCCCCAGCCCACATGCACACCACCGAGCCCTGGCTCCCCGAGCGACGAGCGGAGCACCGCTGTGCCTTCCCGCGTACGCTATGTTTAAATCGGACCACCTCCGCCAGCAGGCCGAACCTTCTCCAACTAACGAAACCAGGCCACAGAGTTTGGGGGTGGTGCCACCAGGCAGCAGGAAGGACAGTGAAGTCCCCCAAGCAGACAGGGTGCCCGTCAGAGCCGCAAGCACCAGACTTAGGAGAACTTACGTCGAGGGCGAGGCAGGCGCTGTGGGCTCTTGGAAGCGGGCACTCCTCCACCCCAGAGCCCTGGCGTTCGGACAACCTCAAGCCCCAGGCTGGTTCTGACAGAACCGGGTGAGGAGCCCCGTCTCCTGAACCCCAGCGCACGGAGGCAGCAGGCGCTCAAACACTGCTCTTGGTCCCATCCTCCGCCCGCTGAAGTGTCACACTGGCCATGCAGAACCGACGGGAAGCGGAGAAATCTCCTGACCTTTCCGCTCACGACAGCCTGAGGTTCTCCGGGACGGCCGCTGGGGAGGTGGCCTAAGGCCGAGCTCCATCCAGCTTGTCTGTGGGCAGGCATCCACATCCAAACGGCCCACGGATACATCTCACTTGGCCTGTAGTGTTGGCTCACGTAGTATTTCAAAATGTTTGTTCTGAGTTAGCTGATAACTAATTCTGCATTTTGAAAATCCAGATTTATTATATGTAACACATCTTTTCCTGGCTGCTTTCCACATTTAACGTTGGTTTTTAGCAGATTGTGATGTGATACATGTTTGGGATTTGCCAAACGTCTGAAATCTGTGTTTATCTAACATCAAATTTGGAAAATTTTTAGCCATTACCTCTTTAACTATTTTTGTCTGCTCCACACTCGTCTCCTAAACTCAGACGACATCAATGTTAGATGTTTTGGTCCCGTCCCTACGTCCACATTTACCCCCAGTTTTTCTCTGTTGTTGAGAATGTACGATTTTTATCGATCTGTCTTCAGGTTCAGACTCTTTCTCCTGTTACCTTCATTCTGCTACTGAATTAACGAAGTACATTTTTATTTGGTTTTCTGTATTTTTTAATTTAAGATCTTCTATTTGGTTCTTTTTTAATTTTTTTTTTCAACGTTTATTTATTTTTGGGACAGAGAGAGACAGAGCATGAACGGGCGAGGGGCAGAGAGAGAGGGAGACACAGAATCGGAAACAGGCTCCAGGCTCTGAGCCATCAGCCCAGAGCCCGACGCGGGGCTCGAACTCACGGACCGCGAGATCGTGACCTGGCTGAAGTAGGACGCTTAACCGACTGCGCCACCCAGGCGCCCCATTTGGTTCTTTTTTATAGCTTCCACGTCTTTGCTGAGATGTTCTGTTTTTCATTCATCTCCAGAGTGTCCGCTCTCGCTCTCTAGAGTGGTTTCCAGCGACCACAGTGCCTCTGTCACCTGGTTCACGGTCCTTGTTGTCAGCTGGTTCCCGTGTCCTTTGACAGCTGCTGAGATCTTCCTGGTTCCTTCATATGTTGAGTAATTTTGGTTTGTATCCTGGACATTGTTAACATATAATGAGACTGTATGCCTTATTAAACCCTATGGAGAATGTCGGGTCTTGTGTTCTAACAGCAGCCGATGTGGGCTGCAGGTCAATTCAGCTCAGTTTTCAAGGCGTCTGCAGAGCCACCTGGGTCCGGACTGTGCAGGCAGCACTCAGTGGCCGGGCTGGGATGTGGGTGGTGGTCCTCCCCAACATTCAGTTTTCAACGCCTCTGGGATGTAGGTTAGGGCCAAGTCCACGCGTGCATAGCTTGGCGTGAGCCCAGGAGTCACATGCAACTTTACAGGATCCCTGTCCCAAGATGTTCCTGTCCATCTCCCTGACTCTGTGCCTCGGGGACACTCCTTTCCCAGGTCCTCTGGCTGGAAAGCCAGGGCTTTAGTGTCCAGGTCCACGTGGTGGCAGGGTGGAGGGAAAGAGCCACAGGATCCCCCTTTACTCTCAGGGGCAGGTGTCTGTCCAGCCACCGCTCACACGGCCCCAGCTCGGCAGACAGCCCTTCAGGATTGGGACTTGCCTGGAGCCAGGACATAAGAGCAAGGCCAAAACAGCAACGACGACAACCTCGGGCGTCTCCTCGCTCTCTGCCCTGGAGGGGGCCCTGCCCCACGCTGGGACCAGTGGAGGAGGCCCCTCGTGGAGCTCTTTCCACCCTACCCAGGGCACAGTGCTGAGTTCCAGGCTGGCAGAGATGGACGGGAAAACGGAACTCAGGTCAGTCATCCATGTGTCAAGTTGCAGTCTCCTTCCCGTGACCTGCCCGCGCCGGCTGACTTCTTGGAGTCCCCACAGCTGCTCCGTGCCTTCTGTCCGGGCCTGCAGTCGTGCTCAGGGGGAGAGATGGGCTTGCCCCGTGCAGCCTCGTGGAAAAGATCCGAGATTGGAAGTTTGGGTCTGCCTTCTGCCACTGGCCGCCTTCCCCGACTGGTCCCTGTGGACATCGGACCTGGTCCACCCTGGGCAGCACGGCCGAGGAGCAGAAGGGACGGTGCTGGCTGCTGTGACATTTCCCATGGGGATCTGTCACCTGCGGTAATCAAAACCCTCCACTTCCCACCCCGTGCCTCTCTCTCGGTCTGAACTGTCCTGGTCTGGAGCACCAGCTGGGGATGTCTGCCTGTGGGTGACTCGGCATCATGGCTCAGGGCCTCAGTGGGGCCGCAGGGCAGGGACTTGGGCTAATGGCACCCTGAGAACCGGGGGAACCGTGGAGGTGGGGGGCACACCACGGAGACGAGCTGAGTGAGGGAAGCGGGGTGAACGGGGGACAGAGCTGACAGCACGCGGTCCCCTCCAGGCCTGGGCTGGGCCACCAGGAGGCCGCAGGCACCTGCCAGACTGGGGCCCGGGTGCACGGAGCGAACTGCACCGCGGAGGGCCGGCCTGTCCAAGCTGCTCACAGCCCCCACACTCACGACACCACACTTTCCGAGGAAAACCCACAGCCACAAAGCAAGCGCCTCAAGGAGAAGCTCCAAAAGCAAGCGAGGTTTCTGCCATGAAGACAGGAGGGAAGCAACGGGCGCTCAGAGGAAGAGGCTCGTTCCATTCTACGGACTCAGCCCTCAAGGCACGGTCTCCCCCAGAGACCCCCAAGTTTAGGAGGGGACTGACAGACCCTCCTCAAAACACAAGGAAAGCCTAACGAGCCACAGAGACAGTTCCAGCTCAGGCAGCAGGGTCGGGCAGACGGCCGGGCTGGAGCCTTCTCAAGTGGGGCTTTGGGGCTGCAGCCAGAGCCGGAGGGACACCAGCCTGGAAAAGCCCTGTGTCCCCAGCCCCTCAGGGCCAGGCCATTCCTGGGGTGAGGGTGCCGGTCCTTCGACGGCCCCCTGGCCAGAAGCTGGCCCCTCCCTCCCCTGGTGGCTCGGAGAGAGACAGGACTCCACACAGCGGCACTCCCTATGGGGCAGGCAGAAAATGCAGCTGAGGTCAGTCCCGGGACCCGAGGCCACCCCTCCCCTGGCGCCCTGTCGGAGCCCCTCTGGGTCCTGAGTGCACAGGTGCACGTGCAGACGTGCGGTCACTGCTCAGACGTGAGGTCACCTGACGTAAAGAACATTTTTAGCCGCGCAGACCAGACGCCTCACCCAGCCTCGGCCCTTGAGTCAGCTATGGCTCGGGGTCAGGAATGTGACAGCCTCGCTGAGGTCCCACGACCAGCCGCCTAGGTCAAATATTAACCAAGTTGTTCCCGCCCGTCTGGTGCAGGAGAAAACCAACACCCTGAGCAATCTGCTTATCAGGAAGGAACGCCCCTGTGCAGACAGCAAGGACTCTGATGTACAAGCTCATGTTGTCACCCCAAGACTGTGTGGTGCCCTGCCCCCAAGACTCCCAGGACCTTCAGTGAGCTGTGAATTCCCATCACTTGCAGCAGCTGTGGGACGGAGGAGCGAGCCGCAGAGGTCGGGCTGTCACTCTTCAGTATGTCTGGGGTGTCTGGAGTGCCACCCAAGGGAGACCCCGACTCCTCCTCCTACACGGAGCCCAGGGTTTCCACCACGCAGGAAGCCCAGCTGGTCGCCTCCCAGGCCCCAGGCCATGTCCTTCCTGCTCAGGCTGGTAGCCTGGGAGCTGGAGTCCTGGTCAGGCCACCAGCTCCTCCCACACCTGGCCATCCCTACCCCCTCCCACTATTTTAATCCCAGCTCCCATTACCTCATTCTTGGCTCCTGCATTTTTTCCTCTCAGACTACTCCTAAAATACCTCTCACCTCATCCTTGCCCTGCCCCGCAGTCCAGAAAGCCTCCCCCACAGCACACAGGTCAGGCAGGCCAAGCCCTGTGGCCTCCCCAGCCCTCCCCTCACGAGCCCAGGCCCAGACCTTGCCCTCCTCCCACCCATCAAACTCCACCCAAAACACATCCCAAAAGAGCAGGTTTTTGTGACCTTAGGTCAGACAATGGTTTCTCGGGCATGACAACTAAAGCATAAGCAACACACACACACACACACACACACACACACACACACGCTGGACTTCATTCAATTTAAAAATCTTTTGTGCTGAAAAGGAAAATATCAGGAAAGTGAAGACAATCCACAGGATGGGAGAAAAACCTTGCAAATCATATACCTGACGGAGTTCCAGTATCCAGTGTAGATAAAGAAATCTACAACTCAGTAATAAAAAGACAAACGACCAAATTTAAAAACAGACAAAAGGTCTGAACAGACATCTCTCCATAGACGTATAAATGGTCAAGAAGCACATGAAAGGATGTTCAGCATCATTAGTCATTTGGGAAATGCAAATCAAAACCACAACAAGATCCCTGGAGACACCCACCAGGATAGTGGGGACGTGGGGGAGAGCGCAAGCAGGGGAGGGGCAGAGAGAGAGGGACAGAAGATCCAAAGCAGGCTCTGCATTGACAGGCTGACAGCAGCGAGCCCGATGTGGGACTCAAATTCACGAACTGTGAGATCATGACCTGAGCCAAAGTCAGACACTCGACCAAGTGAGCCACCCAAGTGCCCCAAAACTTTTAGATTTTATAAAGCCCAGCATGTATTTTTTATGTTGTTTCCTGTGCCTTTGGTGTCACATCCAAGAAATCACTGCCAAATCCAATGTCATGATGCTTTTCTCCTGTTTCCTTCTAAGAATTCCATTGCTTTAGGTCTTACATTCAGGTCTTTGATCAATTTTGAGTTAATTTTTGTATACGGTGCCAGGTAAGAGTCTAATGTCATTCTTTTGCATGTGGATATGCCATTTCTCAGAACCATTTGTTGAAAAGACTGTCCTTTCTCCACTGAATGATCTTGGCACCCTTTCCGAAAACCACTTAACCATATACGTAAATGTCATTTCGGGACTCTCTAGACCCCTGGTCTATTTGTTTTTATGCCAATAACACACTGTCTTGATTATTGTACTTTTTAGTTATTTTTGAAATCTGAAAGTATGAGTCTTCTAGTTTTATTCGAGATTGTTTTGACTATTTGGGGGTCCCTTAATATTCCATATGAATTTTAGGCCTGGTTTTTCTATTTCTGCAAAAAAAAAAAAAAAAAAAATCACTGGGATTTCGACAGGGATTCCATTAAATCTGAGATTGCTTTGGGTAGTACTGACATTATAACAATATTGAGTCTTCCAGTCCATGAACATGGGATGTCTTTCCATTTACTTATGTACTTATGTCTTAAATTTTTTTCAGCAGACTGTTTTGTAGTTTTCATTGTACAAGTCTTTTATCTCCTTGGTTAAGTTAATTTTTTTTCAGAAAAAAAATTTTTTTTTAGGTTTACTCATTTTTGAAAGACAGAGAGAGACGGAGCACAAGCAGGGGTGGGACGGAGAGAGGTGGGGGGACACAGAATCCGAAGCAGGCTCCAGGCTCTGAGCCGTCAGCACAGAGCCCGACGTGGGGCTCGAGCTCACGCACCGTGAGATCATGACCTGAGCCCAAGTCGTACACTCAACCGACTGAGCCACCCAGGCGCCCCTCCTCGGTTAAGTTAATTTCTAAGTATTTTACACTCTTAATATTACCATAACTAGAATTGTTTTTGTAATTTCCCGAGCGTCCTGCAAGCTGCTCTTGGTGGTACTGGGGGAATTAAGCTGTTGTGTCATTTCCCACATTAAGAAGCTTGAATCTCCTGCCTCTGGCGATGTCTGTGGACCCAGCTTCCTCTCCGTGGATCACGGCCTCCAACCTTGGGCGCTGGCAGCCTCCACTCTGGCCTGCCTCTGACCCATGGAGAGTTCTTTCCCATCACAGAAGTTGAACTTGGAAAATTGAGACAATGTTGGATTCAACTGCCCGGCTATGCCCTACATGCCGGATACAGTAAGTGGCCTACAGGATCTGACCAGTAAACAGTGACAGTGCAGGTGCAGCAAGCACACAGATACAGGCAGGTGGGCTTGGAAGCAGCAGGTGTGGGATCAACATGAGCCCACTTTGAGCACGCTGTGGCCACAAATCAGGTGGTCAGCCTCAGTGAGTCCGCAGGTGCCAAGGGTCCCCAGAGGAGGGGGCACCATGCCCCAGCCACCGGACAGGCCTCCCGCCGCACATTCGTATCTGAAAGTGCACACTAGTCGTCTTCTGTCATGCTTCAGTGGAATAGACATCCATCCAGGGAGAAGTGGGGAGGGAAGGGCCTGTAAGCCATATCACGGGAGAGGGAGCCAATGCACCTGAGGAGGGTGAGAAGAGGCCCCCGGGGAGGTAGGGTCACGATGCTGCCTTCACACACACACAACCACCCTGGGAGGGGCTGAGGGTCTGCATGGATCTAGGCAAGAATGCATGAGAGGTTCAGGTACTACTATAGGCTTCGAAGAGAGCCCTGCACAGCTGTACGTGCTGCACGGGGAGGGAGCTCCCCATCGCAGGAAGCGAGCAAGTGCCAGAGGAACAACCAGGAGGAATGGCAAAGATTCTGAACCAGCCAATCCGGGGGGCCCCTGGGATTCCAACGGACACCCCGTTCCAATGGCACAGGTGACTCTCATCAGGCCAGGCCAGGGGAGGGCCCTACCCAACGCCTTCAAGACTTGCGCCCCACCGGCCTCCCGTTACTCGGAGGACATCTGAAGTCACGGATGGCATCGGCACACCTGTTCCGCCCTGACAAGAGCGAATCCCATGACACAGGGCCCCCACCGCTGAGTGCGCCTCTGTGCTCCGCAGCCAGAGCGCTGTCCCCTCACCCCCCCCTTCTGCACTCGGCACGTCCCTCCCACCGTCATGCTGCAGGGCCAGCCTGAAAGAGCAGTGCTCAGATCCTGCACCGCACACCTGCCTCGCGAGAAGGCCGTGGCCTCCCCCAACCCGTCCCACACTCACGTCTCTGCTCACACACCCAGACATCAAGGGCCAACGTGTTCAAACCTACACTGCTCTTTACCCGGCGGTTTCACAAGCGTGACCGAAAACACGGCAGCCGTGTTCGTGCACATTCCGTTCTTACCAACTTGGAGGCACTGGCACCCACCATTGGGTCCAGCGAGAGCCGCAGGGGCCGCCTACCTCATTCCCTCAGTGGACTGGTGGCGATAGTTGCGGTAGAGCTGCGGGACACCCAGCATGGCCTCGGTCAGCACGGCCAGGAAGCCCAGGGTCTCCACAAACAGGGCCGAGTCGATGGACAGGTACGTGATGTAGCCCGCCACGCCCGTGAAGGCCACGACACACTGCACGTAGTCCCCGAAGCTGCTCCAGTGCCAGAAGTGGCGAGGGTCAAAGTCTAGGGCGAGAGGCGAGACAAAGGTAAGCCAGGCGTACGGGTCAGGGCGCCGTGAGGAGAGGACATGAGCGGAGTGAGGAGGTCAAAGTCAATGGACGTGAGATGGACGTGGGCCGTGGGGCTCCGTGTGCTCTTGGCAGGGCCCTTGTGAGGGAGCTTTGATATTAGTCACCGTAAAGACGTTAAAATCCTTAAATCCTGTGATAGTATAGTGCAGGGGTTGTACCGGAGCCTCTGAAGTCTCTTCCCTGGGTTAGAATCCTCACCCCTTCCTCCACAAGTGGATCAGTTAACCAGGTGTCTCGGTGTCTTCAGGTGTGAAAGGAATAAGGTAACCTACCTCCTATGGTTATTCTAACGGTTACGTGAGTTAATCTTACAAACCCAATAAAGTGCCCGACCCATAATAAGGGCCAATAAAAGTATGTACTTATCATCACTACACAGTTGATAGAATGTTATCGTTCGCCTGACAGATAGATGTGTCCTGCAGAAACCAAATCCATAAGCACTCACAAATCGGCAAACTACGTGAAGTTCTTGGGCTTTGGCAGATAAACACAGGAGGTCCTGGGGACAGAAGCGGCGTCAGGGCAGGTCAGGGAAATGGGGATAAATAGAAAGAGGGCTTGAGGGTGCAGGATGCACCCGATCCTGGCCCAGCCCTTAGAATGGCAGGATCTGGAGCCAGGGCACCTTGCCGGGACGAGGACCCAGCAAGGGCTGCAGGCATGGGCGCCAGTACGGGGCGGCGGGTCCGGCCCTCCAGGGCCCGGGAAGTGCCGGCAGGGAAACATTCAACCTGCACACATGTGCCTGTCCTGCCAGCCCCGCCCCCCACCCCCTTTCAGGCTCCATTCCCTCACTCTGCGTGAGAACACTGCCCAGAGTCTGAGCTAGAAAGGGGGAGCGCAGGCAGGAGGCGGGGCCTGGTTTGCAGGTGTGACGTCACACCAGAGTGGGGGTCACCTCCTAGAGCAGGGCGGGGTATGAGCCAGGCTTGCTTCAGGAACAAACCCCAGCTGTAACACGGGGGTGGCCTGAGCGTGCAGGGGAGCTGGGGGCAAACACTGAGGTGTTCCCTACAGAGAGTATGAAGTCATGAGAGGATGTGACAAGGGGGCGGATCTCAGACCCGGATGAAGTTCCTGACTTTGTGCCCAAGGAGTGGAAAAACAGGGTCAGAACCGAGAACCTGGGCCAGGACAGGGATGGACTGCGAACAGACGAGCTGAGGACACCAGGCGAGGTCCAGGGGGCTTTAGGAAACAGGGTCTGAGGTCAGTCGGTCACAAGTCTTTCTATTTTAGGTTCCCAAGGAGCAGGTCAACTGGCAAATGACTAACAGAATACCTTCATTACAAAATTTCTGAGAGAAGACTGAGACCGGACCCTTACCTTGGCAGACACAAAAATTACCTCAAAAAGACCTAAACATGAGAGAGAAAACGGTAAGACTCTCAGCAGAGAACACAGAGGGAGAGCGTCAGGACAGCGGATTTACCAACAGCTCCTTGGATATGAGAACAGAAGAGAAAATAGACCAATTTGACTGTATCAAAATTATAAACTTCTGTTACTAGGAAAAAAAAACTCTTTGAAATTATTGGTCTTGGCAACGATTTTTGGATAGGACACCAACAATGCAAAGCAAAAATAAACAAGGAGAACCGCATCAAACTGAAAGGCTTCTGCAGAACAAAAGAAACGACCAGCAAAATGAAAAGGAGACCAACAGAATGGGAGAAAATGTTTGCAGACTGTCATGTTATAAAGGGTTTATACCCAAAATATATGCAAAACTCATACAACTCAGTAGCCGAAACAAAAAACAAAAACGAAACAAAACAACCCAATTAAAAAATAGAGGACTAGAACATGTATTTTTCCAAAGAAGACATACAAATGGCCAAAAGACACATGAAAAGATGCTCCACATCACTCATCAGGGAAATGCAAATCAAAACCACAATGAGATACGATCTCACACCTGTCAGAATGGCTAGAATAAAAAAAAAAAAAAAAGGGATCAGCGTTGGTGAGGATGTGGAGAAAAGGCAACGCTAACTGGGGCAGCCACTGTGCAGAACAACATGGAGGTTCCTCAAAATATTAAAAATAGCAACACCACATGATCCAGCAATTCCCCTTTGGGCATTTATCCAAAGGAAATGAAATCACTATCTTGAAGAGACATCTGCACCCCACGTTCACAGCAGCGCTATTTACAATAGCCAAAACATGGAAACAACCTAAGCGTCCACACCAAGAGATGAATGGAGAAAGACGACTGGTGTATATATATATATATATATATATATATATATAAAATAGACTATTATTTAGCCATAAAAAAGGGAGATCTTGCTTTTGTGACAATATAGATAGACCTTGAGAACCTTGAGCATAATGCTAAGTAAAATCAGTCACAGAAAGACAAACACTGTGTATTCTCACTCATACGTAGAATCCAAAAAGGCCAAACTTGTAGAAGCAGAGCAGAATGGTGGCTGCCAGCACTGGGGGTGGGGGAGGTAGGGAGACGTTGGTCAAAGGGCACAGACTTCTAGCTGTAAGATGAATAAGTTCTGGCATCTAATGTACAGAATGGTAACTATAATCAACAGTATTGTATTACACACTTGAACGTGGCTGAGGCACCGGGCTGGCTCAGTCGGTGGAGTGTGCGACTCTTGATTTCGGGGTCATGAGTTTAAGCCCTATGTTGGGTGCAGAGTTTACTTCAAAAAGAAAAAAGGAAAAAAAGAAAGATCCTGGGGTGCCCGGGTGGCTCAGTCAGCTGACCACCTGATTTCAGCTCAGGTCATGATCTCACGATTCGTGAGTTCGAGCCCCACAGGCTCGCTGCTGTCAGCACAGAGCCTGCTTCGGATCCTCTGTCCTTCTCTCTCTCTGCCCCTCCCCTACTCATGCTCTCCCTCTCCCTCAAAAATAAATAAACATTAAAAAAAAAGTAGATCTTAAATGTTACCTCCACCAAAAAAAAAAATAAATAAATAATGTGAAGGGATGGAAGTATTAATGAACCTTACTGTGGTACTTATATCACAATATATGTGTATTAAGTCATCACATTGTACATCTTAAATAGGTTATATGTCAATAATACCTCAATAAAGCTGAAAAAATGAAATTTTTTAAATAGTTCTGTGTCAAATAACATAATCAACAGAGTAAGAAGGTAACTCGCGCAATGGGAGAAAATATTTGTGAATCACATATCCAATAAGGAACTTGTATCCAGAATATACAAAGAATGCTTACAACTCAAAAAAAAAAACTTTTTTAAGGGGCAACATAGTTGAACAGACATCTCTCCAAAGGACATCTATAGATGCCCAATAAGCACATGAAAAGATACTCAATGTTATTAATCATTAGGGAAATGAAAATCAAAACCAAAATGAGATACAACTTCACAACCATTAGGACAGCTGCTTTTAAAAACAAAACAAAACAACACAGGGCACCTGGGCAGCTCAGTCACTTGAGCATCCGACTCTTGATGTCGGCCAGGTCATGCTCTCCCAGTTGGTGAGATCAAGCCCCACGTCGGGCTCTGCACTGAGCCTGGAGTCTGCTTGGGATTCTCTCTCTCCCTCTCTCTCTGCCCCTCCCCGGCTCGTGCTCATATACTCTCTCTCTCTCTCAAAATAAATTAAAAACAAAAAAACAGAAACAATCGTTGGCAAGGACGGGGAGAAACTGGAACCCTGTGCACTGTTGGCAGGTATGTGAAATGGTGCAGCCGCTGTGGAAAACAGTATAGAGGGACCTCACAAAATTCAACACAGAATCGCATGACCCAGCAATTCCACTACTGGGGATACACCCAAAAGAACTGAAAGCAGGGACTCAAACGGATATTCGTACAACCATGTTCACAGCAGCATTATTGGCAATAGCTGAAACACAGAAGCAATTCAGGGTCCACCAACAGGTAAATGCGTAAGCGAAATGTGGTCTGTACAAACAGTGGAGAATTATTCAGCCTTAAATTGGAAGAAAATTCTGCAACGTGCTAAAACATGGATGAACCGAGAGCATGATACTGAGTGAAATAAGACAGGTACAAGAAAGAGGGGAAAGCAGACCCCTAATGCTGCCCAGGACAGCGATTCTAACAAAGCAAAGGTGGCAAAAGGAACAGCCAATCGGTCACCACTGCTTCCCAAAGGAAGGGTGAGGCATCCTTCCACTCTGGCAAAGTCCAGTGTCGAGAGGAGGAAGAAAAACCCATATCAGATAGGTAGTCACACATATAAGCAGCTAGGAGCGGTTAAGGGAATGCAAAAGCCAGGAAAATGAAAACTGAGCGGCCACTCTTTTTCCAGTCAAGATGGAACAACAGAGACCAGACTTACTGTCCAAATAGCCACAAACTGGGCAAAATAGATGTCTGCAAAACACTGGACACGAGGCAGTAAAGGACAGGGATCTCTAGGAGATGCAATACAGGTGAAGTGAGCCCCAAACTGTCCCAGGTTCGGCCTGGAGTTTCCAGGGTGCAGAAAATGAAGTGAGAACCAGGCCAAGCCCCCAGAAACCCAGTGGGGAAGACAGAGCTGGGTCTAGGACATGAGGCGGCTGGAGTCTGCAGGACAAAGCAAGCACCGATCACAAGACCGGGCAAAGAACCGCCGAAAAAGGTAAGCATTCACAGGGTGCAGCATTCCCAAAGGACCAGGAGCAGTGTCTTCCTTTCAGCCAGAATGGGAAACCTCGAAATTCACAGGGCTTTAGGTAGAACATTGCTTCAGCAGTGGGGAGTAACTAGCCCAGGCTGAGCAATGCTCCCACCTAACTCATCTTAAAAGCAAGATCTAAAAAGATCACACTGTTTCCAAGTTACTTAACCACATCCCCAGAACAAAGCTCACAAATATTTATAGAAATTTAAAAATATTCAGCAGATAGCAAGGTAAAACTCACAATGTCTGACATCCACTCAAAAATTACCAAGCATGTAAAGAAACAGG